CGTAAAATTCGTCCTTCTGTGAAGCGGGACTGCAGTTGGTTGGTGCATACACCGAAATGATGAACAAACACCTTTTGGTGTTGCTACCCTTCCGAACACTAACTAATCCCTGTAGCCTCATTGCGCACAGACGACTATTGACGCGTATCCAGTCTATCATAGAGGNTTAGTACGATACCTACACCACGCTGACCCAGTGAGCGGGCTGCGTCGTCTCCTGATGTGCGAAGGAAATACTTCGAGGATGGACCCGGAGCACTCAGGTGGCTAATAATACTACGATCCTGAATTCGTGTCTCCGCTACGCAACAGACATTGATTTCTAAAGACTGCATTGTACGCGCAAGACATGCCTGTTGACCCATCTGCATAAGAGGCCTCACGTTGAAAGCCCCCAGATTGAGAGGTTGACGAGGCTTCAGAATCTGCACTTTATTTACAGGAAAACCAATTACAGTGCTATTTGGCAAAGACCTTCGGCGAATGACGACCAAGTTGTCTGAGGGAATATCACGGGTCGGAAGAAGGAATAAAGGGAGAGGTTTGGGAACGGAAGACAAAGAGTTAAACAAAGGTTGGGATATCTGAGCAGTAGCCCACTTATCACTACCCACCCCGCTCGGTGCAATGGGCAGCGCGGTCCTGATTATCCTGCGTGACGACCGATACAGTATGAAATTATTTTTATTTTGTGTATGCATTGGGNGTGGACGGGTACTGCTAGGGTGTCCAGCCACTAAGCAGGAGAAAGATTAGGGTTCTCAACCAAAGCCTTTAGTTTTGACAAAAACCTACTCGCAAGGCAGTGGTTAAGGCGGGTTGGAGGCCTATTAGCTTGGATCAATTTCCAACACAGCCATATCAAGTTTCTGTTTTCCAGACGCCAGACTTCTATCGTATAGTCTTTCCTACCCCAACCCCTCGGGACTAAGAAGCACTCTTCCTCCTTCCGCATTCCCAATGGTCAACCACAAACCTGAGCTTTTCAGAAACAAGATCAACAAAACGACTTTCATTTGAATGGTCCTTCACATACACCTCTGACATTATGTCTTTCACCATTGGAGTTACCTCTTTTGATGTGTGGTTAGAACAAATCTAGCCATCATCGAACGTAATTATTGTAAAACATCACAGGCGAACGGGTGCTCATTCTCAGTCTAACATGAAGGTATCTTGGACGATGGCTCATTTGAAACAGCATAATGCTGCCGTGGTCTCCCTCACTTTTGACGCTAGAGTCTTGGTATTCGAGTTGCAAAACAATTTATTCTACTATTCTGTGTATAAATTGGTGTAAATTGGTTATCCCGATGACTCACTAAAAGGAAGATGGATCTCACTTGGAAATTTGTCAAAAGAGACCTACTTCGATCAATATTAGTTGGGTACCGTGCACGGACATTATTCCTCGTCCATTTCGCACCGCATGGAAACAGTGCAGGTGTGAGAACCAGGTCGGATGTAGTAGGAAGTTCTATTCCACAGATTTTAGAACACTGGCAGTTCCGTCATTGTTTCATTCAATATTGTGCATATATCATACCACGGTCTCAGGTGGTTTGTTACTTTCCGCGGTTTTGGTTGCTGACCGCCCAAAGTGAACAACAGTTCTCCGTGACTATACGGTGTATCCTATCGGCTGTTTATTACACAACCGTGAACAACAAAAAATGTATCCCTGTCTAGAGCGATTACGTGGATGGGCTCTCGTCAACCTTGGACAAATATATCGTATTATGAACTAAAGTGTGCTTAGATAATCCGAGTGAGAATCGATCTGTTTCAGTTTCAGTTTGTACAACCAATAACCATGAGCTACCGTGCGCCGGTTTGGGTTGCTATCTTTTGGCTGCGCATTTGGATGAACATAAGGAGAAAGACAGGAAAGGTCAAAAGTCGGATCGAAGAGAAAATCTAGGATTTCATTGCACTAATTTGGCAGAGGAATCGACAAGATGCACGAACGCCACTGTTTACGACACTCAGCCATATCACTTAGTGTCTCTAACCATCGGGTATCCCGAGACCCTCATCCAGGGAGCCTAACGGGACTTATGTGACCCAGACTCCTGGTTAGGATTTGTATACCCTCGCGTCAGGTCTTAGTTTGATCACCCCTAACCTTTTTCCATCCCCTACTTGCCTCGGCAAACACCGCTCACCATGGCAACCTATCTGGTGGCATGCCTAACATATGCCCCAATCAACGTAATGTATGGAGGTCAATTACTTGCTCCAGTGAACGACCACGATTACCTAAAACTCTACGCCTAACCGCAGCATTGTTCGTCCGGTTGCCACACCAGACTCGTACAATGCCTCATGTCTTTTTAGATAACTTATTTCCCGGGAAACCTCCATTTCAGATGGAGGACTGGTATCAACTGGGAGTATTTTTCCAGTCGGGGTGGACGATGATAGTTCAGATGTTGATGGGGGTCAGTTGAATTGAGAATCGATCAGTAACTGGTTGTCTAGTATGTAAAAGCTGATGTCTACGAAGTTTGACACCTATAACTTGGGAAGCTGGCGCGATATGACTGCTACCAATGGGTACCAACCAAACAATCAGAACACAGGCAAATTAAAAGCTGCTCAGATCGACAAGTATGGAGTTCTGTTGGGAGGATGCTCTTAGAAGACAGGGAGGATGAAAGTATTCATGCACAGCGGCGGTGGTCTGAAGAACCACATCCTCTAAAGCCTCATTATGGTCAGAGATGGGTTGTCTGCGGTTGTGACTGATCAAACTCCCACCATACCCCGCGAAGTGCTTCCATGCGAAAAAGTGTGCCAACAGCCTCTGGGAAGCCATANGCCATACTCAATGCCTTACCATGGCGGTGTTTTCCCACCAAATTAAGGTCGAAAAGGTCCGAATCCGAGACTACAATCGGGTAGGTGAACTACAGGGTGTTCACCTAGGGGAGCTGGCTAAAACCTCTGATTCTAAACCAACCAAGAAGAGGCGTGCAAACCACACATTTATGGTTGTGACAATGGTCACCGGTTCAATTGGATACCTCAGACTTTTGACCCCGCCCAAAGGGCGTATGATCCGATGAATTGGACACCGGCCACCAATGAATTGCAGCTTTAACACAACATTCGGCTGCCTTGTGAGCCAGGCTTTGGTTACTCAAAGGCATTCCTCAAGAAAATTCATCTGCTTTGGCAATTTGCCAGTACTCTGCCTGCTGGCAAATCCCGAACTGTTTGTGTGATGAAGATTACTGCACCATGATTTGTAACTTACACAGTCTGGGCTCAGAAGTATGTGAAAATGATGCATAATTGTGATTTTCAGCGGTAAAAATAACATTGGGCAATAACAGGTTTTCAGTACGACAGTTAGCATCAACAAACCTTGAACATTATTCCGGAAATCTGCTTCAATGCACGTTCCGCTTCCGTCGGCGAAGAAAATACAGCCAAACAGTGCGTATCATCAACCCATTTCAAGTAAAATCCGCTATCTTCGAACCCAACAAGTTCAGCTTGGAGATCCGCAGTTTCAATTTCTTTCGGAAAGTCATAAAGTTCGATGACGTGGAGGAATTTACTATAGTCAATAGTGGCCTCCGGTGAAGAATGATTGCCATTTCGTGGAACGGAGCTCTTAGAGGATAGTCGTTTGATTGCTGGTGCACCGGTACCGTCCGATATGCGTAACGCACTTAACACATTTTCGAGTGACTGCTTTACATCAGATCGTTGACAGACGGGACTGGAGTTAGCTGAATTTCTGGTTTCGGAAGTATCGTGTACTTGAATCCCGCTGTTGACTGAAACCCCCCCGGTAGATCGTCTTGCAGGAGGTATATACAATGCCTTGTCTGGTTTTTTGGTTAGCAAAGGTGCGGATGCATCGTTTTGGGCGGAAACTTGTTCCCCACTGCCTGATTTAGACATGAGCAGACGAAAATATATGTTCTTCGTTACTTCCAAACCTCGAATACTTGTCCGTGGCTGTCGGACATCAGTTTCCGTCTGCAGTGATATCGACGGTCTGCGAAAAGGAAAAGACTGACTATC